AACATTCACATTTCTGATCCTGCACAGTTTAGACTTTATGATTTTTTTGGTTCCCAGAGTTTTATTCTCTAATCTGACATTTCCTGATAGTCCAATTATCCTGAAAGAAATTCTGAAGAATTGCAAAGTGAGTAGAGCCAGAATAAGAGCACTTCAAAAGTGTGTCAGAGGTAAATGATAGAGAAAACCCAAAGTTGCAGAGTGCCTGCAATTACTAGGAGAGCGCTTGGCACTCTGCCATTGCAGCGGCTGAGTGAGAAATGGATCCAGGCAGATCTGTTCTGCAACATAGAGATGGGACACCTAAGCTTGGAGACCAGATGACAGAATAATTTCTTTGAAAGCTAAGTAGAAGAAAACCATACCCTCTTTCCATTACAGGGAGATTTTTAGCTTAGTAATTCTTCGTGGTGTGAGAATTACTCTGTATGCACACATACACACACATACACACACACACACACACACACACACACACACACACACGAAGCAAGACAGTACTCTACCTAAATCTCCTACGACTCAGCTAATCCTTGAACACAGAACATGCTACCAAGTTGAACTCAGTTGAAGAGGCAGACCCATTAAGAACTGATGGATCCTGAAACTGGAGGGATAGAGCTCCTGCAAGGGTCCCAGTTCGGTTCTCAGTATCTAAGTCAGCTAATAGCTCCAGCTCTAGAGGGATCAAACTCCCCAGACCTGAAAGATACCTGCACTCACAACACAGACATACACACATAATTAAAAATTAAATACATATCATCTCAAAAGCTGATTGTACCAAAATTCATGGGCTTCTCATCTATTTACTCTGCCTAGTGTCCTGTCTCCTTATTTCTACTCTCTGGCTGCAGTTTAAATAAAGATGCTTTTTTCTTTCATATGGAAAAGGAAGCAAGAGTAAAAACATTTAAGATGATGTGACTCCATGACCAGAAGCCAGTGAGTGTTTCATAATTCTAAGGTTATTCTTTGTGTTATCTACCTTGTGCCCAGCAGCATGTAAAAGGCAGGAAATTTATTAAAGTGTAAACCTGCATAAGCAAATGAAACCCCTCCACGGAGGCTGAGCCTGAAGGGTAAAGAAAAAGAAACAGAAAGGTTTGCTACTGAGAGAAAGCTAAGAGAAGAGTTTGTCATGCATTTCTTCTACATCTCCCTTTAAACCCATTTTCTTTTCCATTGCTTTTGAGTTTTGAGGAGCAATGTGGAGATTGACTAATAAAATTATTGCATTTGTCTGTGTTTTTGCAAAATTTGCTGAACTGAGTGGTCAAAGTTCATCCAGGAGAAATAGAATCTTGATGTCCATGGTTAATTTTAACCCCCATCGATTTGCCTGTTCACACTGATTTTTCTTTCCAAGTGTCAAGAATGTGTTTCAGTTCTCCCTAACTAGGGATCAATTACAGCCCATCATGCACCCCTGGAAAAAGGCACAGAGCAGAACGCTTACCTCTGTTTTCCAAAGGTTCTCTCTTCATCAGCTCACAGTAATATATGTGAGATGTTTGTCTTTCACAACTGTTCTCGTCATTTTCTCTCTCTCAGCCTTGGCCACCAACAATCCATTCAGAACTATCCTGTCTCTTTCTCCACGTTCCTTCTTAAGTTGATTTCTGGTCAGAGCTTTATGTATATATATATATATACATATATATATATATAATATCACTACTATTTATAGTATTTATATTTATATATAAATATATACTATATTATACTATTATATATATATATTTTTATATATATATATCTAGTACTATATATATAGTACTATATATATATATATAATATTAATATCACTACTAATAGAAAAAATAAAAGAGATGAAACCTTTACTTGAAACAAGGTTCATTTGGGGTTGTAGTAGAGGCTGGGATCTTTATACTTGGAAATAAAATCCAAATGGGTCAAGGGAGTTTGTGCTGTACTTTCAGGGAACCTGAGTTCAGTTCGCAGCATCCACAACAGGTGGTTCACAGTCGTCTTTCACGCTAGTTCCTTGGGATTAACCCTAGGCATTCTTCTAGCCTAATGTAGTGCTACACTCATGGATACACACCCCACTACTGCAAGCACACATAATTTAAAAGTAAAATATATTTTTTAAAAAAGATTCATTTGTTTAAACCCACTGAGACTTCTTAGTGCTGCCTGCATGGGCATAGGCTGATTAAAATACACTGCATACAAATACAGAATAAAGATAAAGTAAAATAAAAAGATTAATTCTGCAGGCATCAAGCTTTCATTTTGAATCACATCATATTCTCAACTAAACATTCAATAGTTCTCTTTAAGATGCTCTCTTGTGTGCTGTATTGTAAATTTATTAAGCATATCTTTGAACCTGATTCTTCACTCAGTAACCTAAGGACCAGAACACCAGAAAATAAACTTTTGCTAAAGCACGTGTAGAGGTTATTTTGCATTTCTAAAAGTTACAAACTCTTTTGTATGCCCTGTTCTTCTAAGCTAGCTCTCTACATTATTGTTATTTTTAATGTCTGAGGCTCTGCTTGACAGGTCTGTAACTGAAACTTGCTTTGAGTTGATATGTGTCCTGGTGGCCTTGTTTTGCTATTCATAAATATTGCAGCCAGACTTTTAATGGACATTATAGGCGAAAATAGAACTGGACTGCTAACATTTAATTTTCTGTGTAAAATAAAAGAAGTCGCAGAAAACCTAAGAATTGACTGTGTGTGTTTGGGGAGTTCCCAGGGGGTATATATCACTCTGTGTGGCTTTCATTTTCTTGGTGAAAATTGATTTAATGTGTAACGTTATTAGATTAATCAAGTTCCTTTGGAAGAAGTCATCTCGCCAAAGAGAGTTTTGTTTGATTCGGTCACTCTGCTCTGTTGTGGCCCTTGCAGGAGTCCTCCACCATGAAGGGAAGATTGGGGAAAACGGTGGGGGCTGAAACCAGCAACAGTCTCCGGTCTTAGTATGAAACAAGGCTTCCTCCAACTACTCCCATGGGAGAAAGGAATGCTTCTTTGCAAAGGTATATGCCTCGGAAGTTCAAGCAACCATCCATTGCTCCTTCACATCTAGATGGCATTGCTTTCTTTGTTTTTCTGTCATAATATATACTTAGAAAATTTGCCGACCCTTCTACTGATGCCCTTTAAAGACTTAATAACTTTTATTTGTGTTTTGTGTAGAAAGACAAATGTGAATGATTGATTGCCTCCTGAATGTCCTGAAACATTTCTATCTGTGGAAAACTCTGTTTTCAATTTGTGTAGCCCTTCTTCAGTGGATTGCCAAAAGTCCCAAGACATTGGAGTCTGGGTTCAAATGTCAGCTTCTTAATTGAATCCTGCAATCAATCCTGCCTGTTTCATTGTTTCTTGAATGGAAATATTATAACTACCTATATTCTTGGACGCATACGGATTAAAATCTTTATTAATACAGTGCACAACACTTAAATGACAAGAAAATATCGGGTTTTTTTTTTTCTTGGCGTTTTCGAGAAAGGGTTTCTCTGTAGCTTTGGAGCCTATCCTGGAACTCGCTCTGTAGACCAGGCTGGCCTCAAACTCACAGAGATCGGCCTTTCTCTGCCTCCCGAGTACTGGGATTAAAGGTGTGTGCCACCACTGCCCGGCTATCAAGAAAAGATCTCAAGAACCACAAATTTAAAATTGAGAAGAGGATAAACTTTTAAAAATTTTATTTGAGAATTCATACATGAATATATTTTGTTCAAACCCACCAGACTCACTTCTCTCCAATTTGTTCCATTTCCTCCACCACGTTCTCTTCTCAGCTTCATGTATGGATCCATTTTCCACAGTGTGCATGCATGTTTATGTATGTATGTATGTATACATATGCATATCCATTGTGGGACATATGTATATATACCCCACATGTGACATGTATAATATATATATATATATATATTCCATATATATGGTGTTATGTGACTTTTAATTTTGTCTTCCTAGACAAGAGTTTAACTAATTTCATCAAAATTATGATACTGCTTCTGGGCCCTTTACCACCAAGCTTGAAGATTCTCTCTGCTGTGTATTTAATAAAGTCTCCAGGTTTAATGCTAAGTAATATGTGAAGCAGGTCTTAGCAGCTTAAATATTTCATCATCTTGCTGGTTATAGGAAATGAAATAAGGGCATAAATGTCACTGTAGGCATAGATAATGACTGAGTGCAGAATAAATTTAAAGTTGTGGATTCACCAATGACCTTATTGTAGAGAAGGATTGCTTATTCCAAAACTAAGCAATTTAGGCAGGGTTTCAGAATAAGACAGAGATTCAGAATTGTGAAGAGTTAAGCTTAAACTTACTCTATGGTTTAGAATGAGATTATTCTTTGCAGATACAGCAAAAGGATTAAGAAGTATGTCTATGCATTCAACTTTTCACGTTCTTCCTTTTCCTTTTAAATCTGGGTGATATCGAGTGTAATTCATGCTCTAAAGAACACAGAGAAGGAGTTGGGCTGCGGGTTTTCTGGCCTCTGGGCTTTGACTCCCGTTTTCTAACCTGCATAAAAGGGGGGCGCTGTGCTTTTGGAGTTAGAGCGGCAAAGAGGTGGTTGACGTTTGATATTTCACAAAGTAGCAATTAGCTGATAACAGAAAGCAGTGTGGACTGCGTCTTGTTACCGTTCATTTCAGAAGTGCCGGGGCTGCTGTGGGCATCACTGTCATTAGGGCTTTCGTGGGCCGAGGTCACTTTGGTTCACGTGTTTTATACATTGGTCGCCTTCTCCTTGTGACTTGCCAAACAAACCTTTTTATTTTTGCACACGTTTATGTTGATTTTGTGGTTTCTGAAATTGGGTTCTGGCTCCTGGAGGCCCCAGTTTCCACAGCAACTGGAGGTCTTATCTGCTACTGGTTCTTGGCAAGCAGACAACCAGGCCTTTCAGTTTACCTTCGGCAGTTTTTTTTTTTTTTCACTCTAAAAAAAACTTTTTCTTCTTCCCAATTTTTCCTGCACCCTGTCATTTAAACATCACATAATTAATTGCGTACATCCTGTGCCACATGCAATTGCCACAGCTTTGAAGTCCCAATAGATCATTTTATAGAGCGGTGGGTGCCGTTTTAAGAGCGGAGGTGGGGTGGGAAAAGAAGAAGACCTGGCGCCAGGGCACGGCTGAGCTGCAAGGGGCGTACATGGCCTGGTCCAGGTATGATAAAGAAACCTGGGCGCTTTCTGTTTGTTTTTCCGCGTTTCCTTCCCAAGCTGGTTATATAGGGAAGACCTCAAACTTCACTTTGTTATTTCTCTCTCTGGAGCTATTCCTTTTCAAAACCAGCATAAACCGCCTCATTTGGTACTGACGTGAGGTTTGGGTGGTTTTATTTTTATTTTTTTCCTATTTCAAACTGGAAAAAAATATGATTTAGCATCATGTCATTTATTGGCTGCTACTGATCCAGAAGCATTAAAAACAGGACAAAAATAAAGACAAAATTGCCAATTCCTGTATTTAGACACTATTACACGATCTTACCAACTAGGCAGTGTTTGTGTGTATGTGTATATATATGCAATCTTTTCTCAATGAAAATATCACATTTATGAGAATAAAGATTATAATCATAATGAAAAAGACAAATGTTCCCTTGATGAAGACAAGAAATTCATATTTTAAATTATATGTATATGGTGCATGTTTTATGTAAGTCATGTGAACATGTGATTATGCCATGTGTAAGTGTGCATGTGTATGTTCAATGCACATATGGCACATATATGGAGGTACAAGGACAGCTTTTAGAAATCAGTTCTCTCCTTCCACTGTATTTGCTGAGGACTGAATACTGGTTGTCAGACCTCTGTGCAATGTGCTATTATCTGCCCAACTATCTTGTCAGCCAAAATGGGGTGAAATTAGATTATTTTTGTCATAGTTAGTCTTTAAGAGTTTGTGTGTGTGTGTGTGTGTGTGTTTATTTTTTTTTTTTTTGAGAAAGAGAAGAAATAGATAATTACATTTCACTGATAGCTTTGGGTTTTTTTTGCTTTTGCTTTTTTTGTTTTTGTTTTTGTTTTTGTTTTTGTTTTTGGTTAAGGGAATTACCACCCAACAATTTCTCCATGAATGTTCAGTGTTTTGTTTACTGTATGGAGTAAATGTTGTCAGATTCTTTTGTTAAGAAAATTTAATGATGCTAGAGATAAGTATTCTTAAATTTTACATACCCTTTTGTATCTTCTATTTTCTTATTAGCATTCTTGAACTCCTGGGCTCCTTGGCTCTATTTCATGGGATATCACTTGCAACACTGATATTGTGGATTTATCACAGATCCAGCAGGTAAATCTTCTCCATTTCCTGACATTTCTAAACATTCTGCTCATCGTAGATTTTTTTTTTTTGGCTTTGTAGTCTATTGCCACAGGAATCTCTACTTCCTGGTAGAGAAGTAACACTGGACAAGTTATTAGACTTTGTTTTGTGAAAACTATTAAAATTCTTTGAGCCTAAATCTTCCTGTCTGTAACAGAGAAGAAGAAGAAGAAGAAGAAGAAGAAGAAGAAGAAGAAGAAGAAGAAGAAGAAGAAGAAGAAGAAGAAGAAGAAGAAGAAGCAGCCAATACCAAGGGAGCTCTTATGAGCATTCTTTACTTTAATACTCACAAAACGTGTATTGTCTCAAACAGAGAAAAACAATTATGCAAATAAATGCAGGTCATGTTATCAGGCCATAAACCTTTGCCTTTCTTTGGTATATCTTGGGTGTTAATGTGAACACATTGCTTATGCAATTCATTTGTTTTGATAACAGCCATAGAAGGCAGACATTATTAGAATCTAAACAGACTTTGTTCTTGCTGTAATCATGCATCAAGTTTCTGCAGAACATGTTTGGCTTAGATTGCCATTTCGTGGCCTGATTCAGACTTGTAGAAACCCCCAAGAGACTTCAGCAGCATATGTAGTAGCTCATTGTAAATCTAATGAATGTCTTGTCCCTCAGTGAATGGCTTCAATTTCCAGTTATTGTGCAATTATTTGAAACAGTTATGAATATCATAGAATAGATTTAGACATAAGACTGCTATCAGACAGAAGACTTGGAGAAGTGATTGTTGGTGGCTTCATCTGCATTGATTAAGAATTTTAAATAAGACTGTATTTTATTGATTGAAAAATAGATTATAACTTTTTTTCCCCAGGGCCCCACAATCAAACAAAAGGCTCCAGGCAATTATGATGGCTGAGAGTGGAAGAGTTAGCCTTTTTCAGAAATAAGCTCTGTGAGGGATTACCCAACTCCTGGTGGTGAGTCCTAAACACATATAGATACAACCACCACTAAATGGACCTGGGAGGATGTGCGTGTGCATGTGTGTGTGTCTGTATGACAATGTTTAAAGAGGTCATGCAGAAGAGAGGGCAGAGAGGGAATGGGCAGGACACTGAAAGTGTTGGAGCTAGGAGAATGGGGTGAAAGTGATATAAATATAGTGATCATGTCTAAAGTTCTCAAAAAAGGTTTTCATAGGGTGGATATGACCATGGCATCTTTTAAAATTGAATCTCAGTGAAAAATGTTTTCTCTCTACAATTATATTCATTTTAGAACTACAGTAATTTTAGGCTCTCTTCATAAAAGATTACATTGATTCTTTCTCTTTTCTTTGTCATACCTCCTATCCTATCCTCTCCCTCCCACATTTAATATTGCCTATGCCTCCCATTTCTTAGCGCTTCTTATTCTTCTGTTGTGCTTTCCTATGAACTGTCATATACTCACTCTCATCCCTTTATTTACACAATATAAAGATCATGATTTACATATGAGAAACATTGTAATTTCTGTCTTTCTGGAGGGGAACTGCGTCATCTCACAGTCTACATCCATTTATTATCCATTATATAATTACATTTTGTGTGTATGAATGTTTGGTCTGTATGTATGTCTGTGCACCACACTGTTCCTGGAATGAACCAAGATCAGAAGAGAGCACCAAATTCCCAGGAAGCTTGAGTTACAGATGCTTATGAGGAGCAAGGTGAGGGCTTGGAATTGAATCTGGATCCTCTGGAAGATGATCAGGACTCTTAATTACTGCACCATTTGTAGCACGAATTTTAAATGATCTTAATAATAATAAAGACCCAGAGTCAGATAATTGGGGTGAAAGCTAGAAGATCAGAGAAGCAGAGTAACTGCTAGCTTTTACATATACTGAATCCTCAGGCTGAATGGGCGATCATGTGTCTACAAGTCCACAGACTGAATGCTGTGAGCTCCTGTCTCCCCCCACCTTATATTCCTCTCTCCTTCCAGGTATATCCCTTCGTGTCTTCACCTTCCTAGTCCTGAGATTAAAGATGTGAGCCACCAGGAATTGATTCTGTTTTTCCTTTAGACTGATTCAATGTTGTGCAACCCAGGGTGGCCTTGGACTCACAAAGATTCATTTGTCTCTGTCTCCAAGTGCTGGGGTTAGAGGTGTGTGCCACCACTGTCTGGACCCTACAGCTAGCTGCTGTGGTTAGCTCAACAATCCTCAGATAGGGTAAGGCTTCCCATGGAGAGTCAAAAAAAGTCTAGCATATCACTTTGAGGCAAGACCAAAGTCCTCCCCACTATATCTAGGTTGAGAAAGGTATCCCTCCAAGGAGAATGGGCTCCCTAAAATCAGTTCAAGAAATAGTGATAAATCCTGGTCCCACTTACAGTCCCCACAGACTGCCCCATCCATACAACTGTCCCCCACATTCAGAAGGCCTAGTTTGGTTCCCTCCACTGTAAGTCCGGAGTCAATGAGCTCCCATTAGCTCAGTTAAGCTGTCTCAGTCAGCCTCTCATTTTAGAGCAGAGTCCCATCCACTGCTTCTAGAAGGAGGCAAAAATGGACTTGTAGCATGAACAAATGGACTTGCCCCTTCGGCGCCATGACAGAGGGATTTCCTACTCACTTTCACATGGAAGACAGGAGAAATTCTTTCCAAATTTTACTTCCTACTCTATTTTCAGAGAGGGCATTGAATACAAGAGCCAATGCCCTTTAAAGACAAATTTGGAGAAGACAGAAATAGACACAATGACTTCATTCTAATGAAATCTTAGTGTCGTCATTCAAACTCCAAGAAGATGTATTGGGGACCCAAACTAGTGACGACACTTATTTTTTGTGTGGTGCTGTGATCCAATATTATAGTTTTAGGCAAAAGATACTATAAAAGTAAAACAAACAAACAAACAACAACAAACCCAGAGTCAATTGATAATTTTTTTTGGTGGTTTTGTTTTAGTGATCTAACTGTGTATATCTGCTAGTCTTAATGGATAATTTTGACAAATAGTATTCATTTTTTTCTCTTCATTAACTGCCTAATTGTGATCCTCACCAGTAAGTCTAAAGCCTAACAAGCAATCTCTCACTTACTTTCTCCTACCCAGCTTAACCAACTCATCAGCAATCCATGCTGCCCCTCTTCCCCAGAGCTTTCTGCATCCAGATGCTTCCTGATGGGTAGACTGCCGTCAGTTCAGAGAAAACTTAACTGGGACCTCCAACTTGATCATGGAAAAAGCCTTGGAGCCTGTCTTTCCATCTACTTTTCTGTTTATTTTCACCATGGCAACCACAGTTCTCATTACACACGAACGAGAATTACTGTCCCTTTCCAGGAGGTCTTGAGGAGGGCACCACCTCTAGGATCAGCACTTTTCTAGGCTGTGAGGAGAGAATTTTGAAAAAACCAAAAACCTACTTGTAGAGCATAGCACATAGTGGGTAAGACAGGGAAAAAACCATGGCAGAGAGAGAGTCAGTTAACGTTGTGAAGGGCACTATGCTTAGGAAGAACTTCAGCACAGAAGCGGAACATGCTGTGAAAAAGAGTTTCTGTGTGGTAGATGATGTTCAGAAAAACATCCAGTGATCTAAATCTTGAGGCACATGAAACACATATTCCTAATTATTCTCTTGAAATTTTGTTCATGTTAACAAGACCAGGGACCTGACACCTCTCATCTCTTCCTCTTCCAAGAAGGTTTCGCTTCTTTTCTTTTCCTTTCTTTTCTTTTCTTTTTTCTTTTCTTTTTTTCTCTTGTTTCATTTCTTCTCTTTCTTTCCTTCCTTTCTTTCTTTTCTTTTTCCTGAAACTCCCCAGAAGAAGTGTTTTCTCTTCTGTTCTAGTTGAATTATATTGTTATGATAAACATCAAGGCCAAAAGCAACTCAGGGAGGAAAGAGTTTTTCTCATCTTACAGTTTATAGTCCTTTATGAAGGGAAGTCAGGGTAGGAACTTGAATCAAAATCCTGGAGGCAGGAACTGAAGCAGAACCATAGAAGAATACTTTTGAGTGGCTTGCTCTTCAGGCTCCTGTCACTAATACTGTTTGTATACCACCAAGAACTGCCTGCTCAAGGGTGACACCACCCACAGAAGGCTGGGCCCTTCATGTCAATCATTAATCAAGAAGTCCCATAGACTTAGCTACAGGCCCATTTGATAGAGACTATTTCCTAACTGAACTTTCTTCTTCTCAGATGACTTTAGCTTTTGTCAAGCTGACCTCAGAAATGCACTATTGCTTCCCTTAAGGCTGTAATCCTCTTCAATTCTATCTTCTTGTAATGTTTTCCCTAAGATCATCACAGAGCTGAGTACTCATGTATATTTCTGCTCAATTATTTCTAGAAAAATTCTTTCTGTGGACAACCTACCTATATAATTGATGTGATTTGAATGCAAATATTTCCCCATGAACTCAAGTGTTTGAACACTTGGCCCCAAGGTGAAAGGGCTGTTTTACAAAGTTGTGAAAATTTTACAAGGTGGGACCTTGATCGGGGAAGCAGATCACTGAGGGGTGGGACTTATGGTTTATATCTGGGCAGCATGGCTTCTTGTTTGTTCTTTACTTCCTGGCTGTGGAGGTGAATAACAGTCCTCTCCTATGATCATCCCTTCTCTGCCACGAGAGACTGTACTTCTTGGAAACGGAAATCAAAATAAATCCCTCCCTCCTCAAACTACTTAGCAGATATTTGGTCACAGCAAGGCGAAAACTATATGATACCATATCTTAAGTCTGCACCATCAATTTCCTTGCATATAGTAATCTTTTATTATTTTGTAACACTTTATGCATTTATGTATATACTTAGATCAATGCTATTATTTATAAGATTTATTCTATTGTAATTATGTGTGCTTGTGCTGTGTGAGCCCATTCCACATGTGTGCAGGTGTTCTTAGAGACCAGCGAGGGGCATCAGATTTGCTGACGCTGAAGCTATAGCTGGTTGAATGTTTTGGATGTGGTCTCTGGGAAATGAACAAGTGTCCTGTATAGGCACGGTGAGTGGTGGAAAACACTGAGCCATCTCCCAAACCCCATGAAATTCTCCTTTTTTTAATTGGGGAAAAGACTTATTCATTGTATATTCTATAAAATGAAAAGTTGTATTTATTTACTTAAGAAATATTTATCCGCTAAGCCCCATCCACGAATTAGACCCTGCAAAACAGCCTAGAAGATTGATTATGGGCGAAATGAATTGTACCAAGTTACCACCTTGCCTGATTTCAAGAGAAACAAAAGTGTGGGAGAGGAAAGGAGGACCAGAGAATCATAACGGCAAATAAAACACAGTTTAATAAGTACTAGCTAATAATATCTGCATAATTTTATGGACCAACTGGAATCATATGTCATTTAAGATTAAGAATG